TTGTCCAGAATGTCAACATACATCTCAGAGTTCATGTTTCCAATCACAGGAACTAACGAATCCAAGCCAAACCATGAGAACCCCCCCCCACACCACCACCATTATGCTTCCACCTCCAAACTTAACAGTCGGCACAATGCAGTCACTAAAGAAACGTTCTCCGGGCATCCACCAAACCCAGACGCGTCCATCCGACTGCCAGACTGTAAAGCAAGATTCATCACTCCAAAGAACAGTTTTCCACATGTCCACAGTCCAATGACGGTGAGCCCTACACCATTGCAATCGATGCTTCGCATTCTGTGGAGTGATGTTTGGCTTGTGAGCGGCTGCACGACCATGGAATCCCAAGTTTTTTAACTCTCGTTGGACAGTCCTGCTGCTAACACTAATTCCTGATGAACTTTGGAACTCCTGAGAAATTTCCACCAACGAGGACTTGTGATTTTGTTTCACTACCATTCTCAGAGTTCTGCGGCTGCGTTCAACAAGTATTTTTGGCCTACCGGTTCGTTTTTCTGCCGTTTCACTGCCTCGACGTTTCCACTTCACAATTACATCACTCACAGTGGATTTAGGCTTCTGTAGAATGTCCGCAATCTCACGAACTGATTTCCCACAAAGGTGGCATCCCACTATACTGCCACGGTCAAACTCATTAAGCTCCTTTGACTTACTCATTGTCTCACAAACGCATAAATACAATCTGACAAACCACTACCAACACTTTTATAGCTTTCAATTACGTATCAAAATGCGTCACTCACCAGAACCACTTTTTTAAGAGGTGTCCGGATACTTTTGGCCAGATAGTGTATTAACCCCAACAAAAGTGATAAAAAGACTATTTGAATAGTCTTTTTATCACTAGACAAAAGTGATAAAAAGACTATGAATTATAATCATGACATTTTTTAGAGGGAATGGGATAAAATAATTCAGAAAGAGATTTTTTTTTCAAAAAAAAAATGTGGGGTTCTTGTGGCAATTTGATTTCGGAACTACTTATTTAGTTCCAGCATTCATACAGACAAGACAGAAATTGAAGAATCTTCATTTAGTGTAAAAACAGCAAAAGCGAACACGATATCTTCAGTTTCAAATTATTTTGTTGTCCTTTAATAATTAATGCGCACGTGTAAGATAGAATAACAAAAAATGTTGCGTTTGCTATCAGTTTTTTTTAATTTTACTTTTAGTGTTATATGTGTAAATATCCATCATTATCACTTGCTTCTTCGAGTATTTTTAATTAAAATGATTAAGCGTATGTTTTCTAAACTCGAGTGTGCAGTAATCTTCCACAAATATTTCGATTAGCATTGTTATTTAATGAGAAAATTTTATTTGCCTCATATTGAAAAAGGTTCTTGTCACTTAAAAAAATCAAAAGAAATCTATTTAAAATAAGGAATATTTCAGAGCGTTAAAGGACATCCAATGATTATTTACTATACGTAAAAGAATTCTAATAACAATAACTATGCCCGAAATTGAAACAAAATGTAGCAATAATAATTTATATTGCTATAATTTTGCTTTGTGGTTTGTAAAAAATAAAAAATCTATAACTGTTAAATATTCAGTTCATATGATTCAAATTGTTTAAAAAGGTTCAAAGAAAATGTGTTAATTGGTAAGTTTATTCGCGCGCGTGAATTATTTTTTTACGAGCAACTACCATCAGTTATGTTATGTGCAGTGGGTTTTCGAATAACTTTGTTTTGGGAAATGATTCTAGAAGTTTAAATACTTATATAATGTGATATTTTTTTAATAATTACTAATAAAGATACATAGTTCTCATTATATTTTTACTATCATTAAAACTACATTTTAAATATTTCTGTTCAGTAAGAATAAAAATGGATTTTTCATTATCTTCTCTCGTCATTTTAGGACCCCGGTATTCAAATGTTTCTAATAACGGACTCATGGCCGGCGTTTTTGAATTTCGGGTTCAAGTTCTGATGGCTCTGAACACCCTCCCTGTATAGAAGCTGAGGTCAGCGTTTCGATGCTCTATCCTCATGTTGATGTGTTGTGCATGTTTAGAGAGTGCGGTACCATCAAAGCGTCATCCTCATAATTTGGCTTTGTTTCAAAACTACAAGGTTCTTCTCCAACGCCCTAGGGCATAGGTTCTCAACCTTTTTTGAACTGGCGCCCCCTTTTCTTATAAATATTACGATATCTCCCCCCTTTTCTAATAAATGTTTGATACCGCCCCTCCCACTCTAGAGAAATAAGAGTGTACATAATGCATGGTGAACACAAGAGTTAAGTTTTTAAAAAATATCCTATTACTAATGGAAAATATATTTTTTAATTAAATTTTTTTCTAAAGCCACAATTTTTTTACTTCCGAATCTGAAATAGATATTGCCACAAATATACTTAAATGCTTAATATTACATATTTTAATCATAGATAGGATATTGTTGGAATTGAAACGCTACTGAATTTCTTCTCCATTTAAAAGAGAGTAATAAAAGAATTTTAGTTTACCTGTTATAAAGACAGGCAGGGGTTTTGAGGATATGAAGTAATTCATAATAAACTGTTGTTTTCAAAATAAATATAAATTGACAGTTTCAGTCTTTAAAGAATCCCAAGTTAATTCCTGGTTAAAATATTTAATTATGTTTCTTGGATAATATATGTAATGAAATGCAGTGGACCAAACATTTTTCCTACTGCTCACAGACAAAGACAACACGTACACTACAGAAATTAAAAAAGGCACTATATCATTCATTTTAATGTAGGTCTGAATGTAATGTAATCCTTAAATTTTCATCCACTTCCCGAATGATCGAACTATGTAAATTTTCGTACATGTGACATAGAAATGATTTAAATACATACAATCAACATAAGGTAAACAGTATTAAAGTTTACTTTGTAAAAACAAAATCAGCGTGTTTTTTTTCCTCGTCTTTTTTCGACTATATTTGGTCAATCTGCCCAAGCCCCTTCATGCCATCTCAACGCCCCCTAATTTTCTTTGGATCTTTTACTGCCCCCCTGAAAGTCTGAAACGCCCCACGTTGAGAACCTATGGCCTAAGGTAATTTCAAAGCTCTAAGTTAATTATCGCTCATTTATTAATCAATATCATTCAAACTTCCATTTTATAGTAAAATATTTTTGTTATTCCTTTATAAATATTTTTAATTGAATAAATAGAATTTTTACAATGGTTGCATGCTTAAGAACCAGTGAATTGAAAAGAAATCAACAGGAGTCAACATCACCTGTGGTAAATAACACTATTGACACTCTCTAAGTAGAAATCATTAATAATAAACAATATACGAGTATTTTTATCAGTTGCTTCATCCGAATAATTGTGCGCCAATAAAAAAAAGGTGTAAGTATATGATAATTATTTAGCATTTAAAAAAGCTTCACTCAGATGAAAAATTAAAATGAACATATATAGTGAACTGTGCATTGAATGTGGAGCAATAATCATGAACAATATCTTAAATACTGCTAAAGTAAAAAAAAAAATTTCCTCAAAATATTTTCATTATAACAAATAAATTTTTTTACTTTTCGTATAAATTATTAAATTGGTAAAGAATTGGTGAAATTGTAATTAGTGTAAAGATAATAAAGCTGGTCTGCCCATTCCTGGTATATCGGCTTCAAGATTAGGTATTTTGGTACTTTTGGATGGTATTGTGAATCATGAACATTACTTAAATAATTTAAAGAGCATCTTGTGAAATTATCTGCTCAAACTTTATGTACTGGAGACGAATTTATTTTTTAATGAGATAATAATCACCATCGTACTACTCTCAATGTACACCGCTGGTGTCTCTATAACTGTCGCAAAATTCTGAAAACAACTCCTCAATCACCTGATTTAAACCCATTAGAACACATTTGGTGAGAATTTTAAGTTATAATAAGAAGACATGGCATTTAAAAACAAAATGTGAACAAAAACAATAATTACAGAAGAATGGAGAAACATCGATGCAGAAATTACAAAAAATGGTTGTTGTGGACGCTAAAAGATATCCTACTGAGTGCTAATCAAGAAAAAAATACATATTTAAAACTATGTTCAGATTTTTTTTCTGAAGTGTAAGAAAAGAGTTTGTGGCGTAATTTTTTAGTAGTTTTTGATTATTAATTTTTCAAAATAATAGTTTTACTATGTTTTAAAAATTGATAATATTTTTCCAATAAGAGCAAGTTATAGATATTACTTAAAAAGTTACAAGTTCGATACATTAATCTTTATTAGTCGAAAACATTAATTTTTTTAGGAAATTGCAAGTTTACGAACACTTTTGAGAGACATTGCAAAAGAAGGGAAAAGAGTGCCACATAAAGGTAATGAACACCTAATTTTCGAATTTGGATCCTCATATAAATAAGTTTGTTAAATATTAATATATTTGCAACTTTTTATTTTATTTTTAAGTTTAGTTGATGTTTAAAGTATCGTTTGAGGCAATTTTGTCTGATGACGTAGCAAAATATTCTGCTTAATAAAGTAATAAAACAACAAATGCAATTCGATTCTTTATTTTTATTGTAAAAGTCGGATAACACCTACTAAATTAGTACTTTTATCCATCTGGACTGCTTACTGTTTGTTTATAAAGCGCTTTTGAGAAGGGGGAATAGAATTTATAACAAGAGTAAAATAAGCGAAAAGAGTAAGAGTAAAGCTAATTCAAAACAAATAATTAAAAAAAAAGTTAAGTCATTTCCTACTTAGGTCAACAAAGAAAATTTTTATTTTAGTAACTTTTTATTAAATGGTTATAATTAATATAAATATGTATACACATATGATAGAATCACAATATTAAGTGACAAAATAGAAAGTAATTTTCCTTGCAATTTTTCATTTTTCTCTCTATATATGGTGTCGGATTATTTTTTGTTTGCTACTATTTTTATTCATTAATTGAATTTAATTATTCTAATAAAATAGTACAGTAAAAAAGAAATCGAATTCTCAGAAGTTAGGCCATCCCAGGTGTAATTCGAACCCACGGCCTTAGGATTAGAAGTCCTATGCGCAATCCAGTGCGCTACATGGACACAAAGAATGATTTTCCTTTCCATACATGCTGATGGATTATTATTTTTGTTTCTTACAATTTATTCATTTTATAATTTTATTAAGGAATTAATATTTGAAAAAACTATATTAACATCAAGTGCCATCCCCTACAAGTTTAAAAAAATGTATTTGAACTTGAATGTGTGGATGAATAGGAAATATTTTATAAAGATTCAAAATTTGAACAATATATATTTTTATATATAGGGAGAGAGTGAACTAATAGTAAGAATTGAAAAAAAAAGTATATAAAAGAAATATGAAGAATCTACGTTTGAGCTCTGTAAAAATTTCTATAAGTGAAATCAATAGTTTTCCTCTTTAGCTTCGCCTGAAACTACTGAAAAAGTACTCATATAAGCTGATTTAAAAGTTCATTCTGCGAAAAGTAATTTTATGTGTGTCTAAGGAATAGAAAATTGAGACTTTGATTGCCTAAGTCAATGAAAAAACAGCTAATATTTTATTGGAATCACATGTTGTTTGCATATGAGAGCCAATTTTCCATTTTCGATTTTAAAAATCATTCAAAAGAATGCAGGAAAAAAAAGTTTAATCATAATATCTTAATTGGAATAGTGTATTAAGGTATTAAAATGAATAAAGAATACATTAAAAAACGTTTTAAAAGGTGCTGTGAAAATGATAATTAAATTCCACTTTATTGATTTTATTATAAGCAGAATTATGCAGAAAATATAGAACTCCGCTTTCGCATTTGGAATTCAGATTAATTTTAAATGAATCAAGTCATAACAATGCGCTATAATTATGTGCTGAAATATGGTTACTGTTTATCTTATTCAGCAAACATGATTGCTGTTCTAAATGAAGTAAATATATCGAATGTATTTTTTATAAAATAATTAAAGAAAAATTTGGCAGTTTTCGAGACTGCGATAGAAGTGAAAACTTAGAATTTTTAGTATTAAAATTTGAAATTTCATAATTTTTGAATTAAAATTATCAACATCAATCTGGTTTTCACATCTATTGACACTCCGAGCAACAACTAAATGCATGTTTATATGGTTTTTTATTATTCAAATGTATTACGGGCTGTACAAAGATCCATGACAAAATATAAATACAATTCAATTGAAATAACAATTAATATACTATCATATTATTTATGAATAGTATTTGTATTTACTTAAATTTCAATGTACTTGATTTTTAACATTATTTTAATTGTTTTCATCATTTTTATCATTAATTTAAACAATACTTTGATTTTTTGTACTTTCAATTATTTCATTTTGTTCTAAAAAAGATACAATAGGCTTATGGTAACTAAAGTACGAAAGGAAAATGTTTGATTCAAATTTATCTATCGCGTAAAAACCGCATCGATCGTCGTTTTATATTTTGTAGTACTGAGTTTTCGATCATTGGACATATTTAAATTAAGTGTTTCATTTAGAAAATCTATTAGTGGTAGATTTTTATCATCTGCAAAGTTAATATTGAAGTCCCCACTTAAAATCATCGGTACATTATCATATATTTTTCACCAAATCTTTTTTCGAGTATTTCAGAATCTTCTTTTGTATAAATCATCAAATTTTCGAATAAAAATTGTTGCATCTGTCTCATAGATTTTCCAGGCGAAATATAAACGGCAACCATTAATATGTATTGCCCATTCTCGAATCGCAACGAGCAATGCACAGTATATACATATTGAACTTTTCATTAAATCTATTGAATTTCATTTATAAGATATACACAGCATTATACGTCAGCTGTATAGCTACAGATATATTGCTATAAGCATGTTGGTGATGCGAACGCACGAGATTTCACACATCCAAAAAGTTTCTAAGGAGAACAGCACACTGCGCGTGGGCCAGTCAGAGCATGTCGGTGACGCGAACCCATAGGATTTTCCCCTACCAAAAAGTGCCCAACGCCGCTAAGGAAGTTTTCACTTCAAAAAATGTATGCATTGGTTTTAAGAATTAACAGCAATTTGTACTCAAACAGGATAGGGGGGGGGCAATGTTTTGGAAAGTTAACAGTTTTCTAATAATGAATTGAATTTAAAGGCCAGTATTCAAACTTATATAATGGATCCCAACTTTTCAATTAAAAAATATAAAAGAATGTTTTCCAGAAGAGAACACTAAGCGCATGGATGAATAGAAAATTCTTCCGAGTACTATAATAAATCAGAAGGCTTACTTCCCACAATTATAGACATTTTAAATAATTTTTCTTTTAAATGGGTTGCAGATTGTTGATTACCTTTGTAGAACAATTTTTCATTCCCCGAGATCTGATATTACTTTTTAGTGTGACCCTATATAGGTGGATATATAGGGTGGATTATAAGCACCTTAGCTCTGACGATGCGAAATTGCTCTTGGAACTTCACTTCACCGAGACACTCAATCAAACAGGTATTCTAGGAATCTTTAACAGGCCGCATAATCAGACGACAAGAACGCTGTCGATTTTTTGCAGCATGAAAATCAGCACTTGGACCGAGTCGAACCCTCAAACTTGGGCGCAGAAGGTGGCCGCCTAACCAACTACGCCCCCCAGCCGGAGCATTTAAATGTCTTTCGGAACCAATATTCAAGTGAAAATATTTAACGTATGTGGCAACAAAATAACATACAGAATGAAATTAAATGCAGAACAAGAAATGTGCCTGCAGACATATTCAACGCAGCTAAACTTTGTCATTTTGTGCAAAAAAAAAAAAAAAAAAAATGCAAGCATACATCTACATAAAATTATCTCTGTCAGAAAATATACAAGGAAAGGTGGCTCCTGGAGCACGAAATAAAATTATTAACGATTAATTACATAAATTTTAAGCTAAAACTCATTTGTAAGAAAAACTGCAATTTTTATATATATATATAAAATCGATATAACATGTTGTGATCTACTTTAAGTACTTTTTAAGGTAAATTCTTCTAAGTGTATGCGATAAGGTTCCCCCAAAACATCTAATAGGTCTAAAGGTTCCATGATTTGATAACGTTTGAAGAGCACTGCTGTAGATCACAAAGAAAAAGCTGTATTGTGTGTGAGAAATGATTTACAAAGTGCTTGAAAAGTAGAAGAAAAATTAAAGTTTAAGCGGTCTGAAAAGTGGGCGGAGTGAGGCTTAGATTGGACATTTGTGGTGTTGAGAGAAGTTTCTATGATTGGCTGTTAGAAATGGTTAGAGCAATTTTACTGAAAAAAGATTAAACGTGAGTCAGCCAATTAGATAGCTGATTGCAAATCAACTAAGTTGCATTATGTATCAACGAGAAAATTAGGAATTAAAGTAAAATTAAGAAATTAAAAATAGCAAAATATGTAAAACTTGGATTTTTTTTTAAAAAAGTTGAATCATGAAGGACCAATTAAGTGCTTCGTGTTCAATGAATTAAAGATTAGGTGTGTATTTTTTTAATATTATTTGGATATGTTTTTTGCACTTAGCATTTTTATTAAAGAATTTAATGGCATTTTCTCCGGTATTTGCCTCATAGTTGTTATTTGGTTCCCCTGAATCAGAATTTCTTATGAAATAACGAGCATTGAAAATTTGTCTTATAATCAAATTTTCACACTTTCTAATTTATATGCGTTTTTGTCGCTTGCCCCCATAAGGGGGAGGCGTAGAAAATTATATGTTTTGGAATCGTTGAGTGGATAAGCATTTTTGCTGTGTCTTCTAATGAAGATAAGTGTGATAAGAGGAAAATGCTTATGCGTGGGTATCAATAATTTTTTCCCTTGTGTATATTACATGTTGCTAAAAGCTTCACGTTATTTATCTAAAATGACGTCTAGCTATTTGACATGAGGAAATGGAAACCATGTATTTGTTTCAGTGCACTTAAAACCATAATATAACAAAAATATCC